ACATGGGCTGGCTATGGTTTTTACCTCCATTTGTTTTTCCATGAGCATGTCAGGATGATTGGCTTTATTTTTGCTTATCTATCTATTTGTCTGTCTGTTTTTGTTTTTGTTTTTTTTTGTTTGTTTGTTTATTTGAGGTAGGGTTTCTCTGTGTACCTCTAGCTGTCCTGGAACTCACTCTGTAGAGCAGGCTGGCCTTGAACTCACAGAGATCTGCCTGGAAGTGCTGGGATTAAAGGTGTGCAATGCCATGCCAGGCTAAGATGACTGTTTTCACATGCCATTCTAAATAGCCTTTTTCTTGTCGTTTTGGGTAGCTGTACCCTGTCCTGGGCGCCTTGGAGTGGTCAGAAGGGAAGCTGCACCTAGCATTGTAACATATACGCCACACAGCGTCTGGTGTGAAGGAGACTTATTGTGGGAAAGGGGGAGGGGGAAGAGAGAAGAGGGTGTCCATGAGAGACTTCTTAGTCACAGCTATCCAACCTGACAGAGCGGGCCGCAACACACCTGATCACAGCCTTGTGGCACACCAGCCCCCCCCCCCCCCGTGCCGCCCTCCCCCCCCATCCAGGCATCTAGTAGCCACTGGCTATGCTTACCCGAGCTGTCTGGTGTTAATAAGGGTCTGAAGCAGCCAGACCCATGTAGATGGAGCATGGCCTCTGGTAAAGGAGAAGGTTGTGCATGCGTGTGTGTGTGTGTGTGTGTGTGTGTGTGTGTGTGTGTGTTTGTGTGTGTGTGTGTGTTGGCCCTGTCATCTGGATCTAAGTCCACCACTCCTGTGAGCCTCAGTTCCCCTCTGCAGAAGTTGGATACCCTCAAGTGTCCTTGGGCCTGTTGGGAGAAGCTGGCAAGGATTTTCAGGGTAGCGCTGGGTTGTTGCCATTTGTGTTGAAGAAAGCCCAGGTGAGGACTAAACAACCTTTTGGATGAACTTCTGGTGCCGGGGTTGGAACCAGGGCCTGGTGCCTGCCAAGTATATCCTGTACGACTATCTACACTCCAGCCTCTGAACTGCCTTTCCTTACCAACTGTATCACTCAGGTCAAAGATTGTTGTGTTTAAAAAAGCTGCTCCTATCTCAGGGGCCATTTCCAGAGGGGTCTGGCTCCCCTCCCCCCACTGTAGCCTTTCAGGCCATGAGCATCAGGTCCCAGAGACAGGATGTTTCTCTGTGAGCCCATTGAGAAATCCCCCTGGAAATCCTCCTTTGGCAAGGCGCAGGCGGGTGAGAGAATCGGAGACAATGGGGAACACGGGAACAAAAGGCACCATTGTTCAGGCTGCCCAGGCTGGGGTCAGTGGGTGCCTAGCTAGGATAGCCAGACCCATGCCCAGGCCATGAATTTCTGCTTCCCAGGGCTTGGCCATGAGCCCCGGGGCGGTGGGGGGGGTGGGTTGGGGAGAAGGGAGCCCCGCTGACCCGGGTCCAGGCTCCACTCTTCCACCCTGTCCTCCCCCCCAGCACGTGCCCACCTTCCCCCAGGGCTCTCTGTCAGGAGCCATGTCCCGTGCTGGAAGGCACAGATACCAGTGCCGTCACCATCACCAGTGGTGCAGTTGGTGATCCCTGCTGGGCTACATGTTGCCTGGGCTCCACTGCCCCGCCCTCCCCTTCATCCCGGCGCCCCACTGCCAACCCAAGGCAGTTGGGTTCTCTGTGAATGAGGCACTGGGTGTGGCTGTGCCCCACTTCCACTGCTGACAGTGGGGTTTCACCCTTCCACTCTCTGCAGCCCTCAGTTTTGCCCTTCCAGAGTGTTTCTTCCTGAAACTGAGGCCCACTCCGCACCCCTCAGCCTCTGGGTCAGCTTCTACAGACCAGGAAGTTGGAGGAGGCCATCTTCCATCTGCCTCTGACTCCTTTCCTGTTCTGTTCTCCCTTTCCAGTGGCTTTCCTGACCCCAGGCTAGCACAACTAAGTCCGCCCTTTCCCCCCAGTCTGGGCTGTCTCTAGCTCTCTTCTCCTACTAGAGAATCTCTCCTCTCCTCTCTCTCTCTCTTTGAGATAGGATTTCTCTGTATAGACCAGTGGTCCTGGAACTCACTCTGTAGACCAGACTGGCCTCGAACTCACAGCGATCCTCCTGCCTCTGCCTCCCCAGCACTGGAATTAAAGGTGTGTGCCACCAGACCCCAGCTGTGCTGTGTTCTCAGGGTTGCAGCGCGGCCTAGGCCGCTTCGTCGTCCCTTTCCTCAGGGCTGACCCTGGGAGGAGCTGGGGTTGCTGAATTTTGGTGCTGAATCTTTGGTGTCCTGCTGTTCTTTCTCCTGGCTCCCTGAGGCAAGGCCGGATGAGCACTCCCTGTCCCAGGGCTTCGCTGACTCAGTCCCTGGAAGTTCTCTGCTCTCTAGTGTGCAGCTGAGATGAAGGGACCAAGCCTAAATGACTCAGGTGTGTGCGTGCTCATGAGCATGCCTGTGTGTCTTGGTGTCGGGGTCCCACAGCGAGGGTGAGCCCCAGGCTAGGGTCACTATGAGATGGACTATGGGTGTGGGGAGGGCCGGGGGCTGGCGGGGAGTGGTGGTGTCTAGCCTCAGGACAGCCAGGTCAGTAGCCTAACTCAGTTTCCCCTTTGTAAGAGAAATGAGGTCTGAGGTAGGCAGGAGCAGGCGTGTGGGTCTCTCTCCAGCCACTCTGGACTCAGCTGTGGGGTCTCTAGACCCATTCTGCCCCTTGAAGACCCCTAAGCACACCAGCCCGCCAGCCCACCAGCTGGGCCATCCTGTGCCTTCCTGGGCAGCCTGTTCTTCTGGTCTGCCTGCAGCAGTTGTCAAACCCAAGTCTTCCCTTCCCACCCTCTCTCTGCCTGGGCGGGTCGAGGCTGGGTCCTGAGGAGGAAAGAGGGGTGACATTGCCCTGGAACCCTGGGCGGGTATTCTGGGCTTAGGGTGAGCCTGGGCCTGGGGTTCCCTTTGCCCCATCCCCACCCCAAGCTCTTCTAACTGTGGGCTCATGACCAGGGTCTTTGCTGCACATGCTGCCTCGGTAGGTCCTTTGGCCAGGGACCTGGGGCCTCTCTTGGCTCAGCATGGGGCAAAGACAGGAGCAGGGTGTGGCGTGGACTGCCAGGAGCCTGCGGGGCTGTGCGGCTTCACTGTGGAGAGATGTGGGAGAGTAAAGGCGAAGCGATTTGTGTATGTGTGTGCGTGTGTGTCCTGACACCTACACAGCACAGCTGTGCCTGTAACTGCCTGATCTGTGTGTGTTAGAGTCTTGACAGCCACAGAGTTCACACCTCCACCCACCCACCCACCGCGTTCACTGTGAGTGTGCACGGAAGTCCTCCGATGTACATGACGGTAGCCCTGCCCACCTCTGCTGTGTGCTTGCCTTCCCCGATCCTGATCATAACGTATGTGAGTGTGAGCCCCACGGCCTGTGCACACACTCATGCCTCATGCCTCTTTGTCATTCCTCCCCATTGCTTTTTTTTGTTTTGTTTTTTTTTTTTTTGCCATTGACCTTTTGATAAATGCTCGTGCCACCGGGCTGTTGGCATGGCTGGGAGTTTTACCTCATGTAACTGGGAGAGGAGACAGCTATGTTTCCCTCAGGATGAATAATGTCACCTGCCGCCCTCCCACCTCCTCCTCCGACAGCCCTGCTTCTCTGAGAGCTTGCTGGGGTGAGCCTTAACTAACCGGCCAGGAGGGCTGTGTCTGGGCCCACAGGTTTGAGGGTGCAGGTGCTGCAGTGTGGGCCTGTCGGTCCTTATTAGCTCTGACAGTGGGCCCTCCTGTCAGCCCGGTCCACAGTCCCGCTGAGCGTGTGGGGGTGCTTCTGGCCGTGCGCCCCACAAGGGTTCATGCTTAAACTCACAGCCCTTCACTAATTCTGAGACTCTTACTGCAGAGTAAGGAACTGAGGGAACGGAGGCCAACCCCCCCCCCCCCCCCCCCCCCCGCCCATGGCCCTACCTAAGCCCTCCTTCCTTGGGGTTCTTCCTCTCCTTGGTGCCCAGCTGTGTAGAGTGCCGGAGAGGCTGCTGGCTTCCCTGTGGTGACGACATCCACAACCTGGTTGCACAGCCCCGCCGAATCTGCTTCGACCCAACAGGGGGAAGTGCAGGTGTAGTTTTGGAGATGTGCTCAGTTTGCCCCCTTTTTCTCGTCCGGCCCTCTTTCAGAGCTTGTGCGGCCAGGGCTTCCTGAAAGCCACCTGTGTGAGGAAAGAGTCCCAAGACCAAAGGTTAGCAGAGCCAGGTCTAGCTCAGCTCTGAACTTGAAGGCCTCTAGCCTGTGGCAGGGCTGGTCAAGGAGGGGCGAGTGTGTGTGTGTGTGTGTGTGTGTGTGTGTGTGTGTGTGTGTGTGTACCCATACCAGTCTCTGGGACGCTGATGCTCACTGGTGTCTACTGTAAATGCTCAGATTCTTGGAGTGAGGCTGCTGGACCAGTCAGGCCGGCAGGCCTCGGGTGTGGCCGATCGGAAATTCATGGATGACAGGTCATTGTGTCACTGGTTCTGGGACAGCTTGGTTCTTTATGTCACAGAAGGAAGCCTTGAGCTGGGTGGCCCGCTTGCCACCCAGTCTGCTTTGTGGGGCTAAGGTTACCCCACTCTGTGGGGACAGAGGAGGATGTGAAATCAGCGTGGAGCACCTCGTTGTAGCTGTAGGGACCGTCTGGGTCTGGGCTGTGTGCAGCTGTTCTCCTCAGGGTCTTCTGTGGTAGCTTGACCTCAGGGAAGGAGGGGGGGTGGGTCATGCCTTCCTGCAGGTCCCTGGCTTGGCCTGGGAGGTGATTCAGAGTCCTGCTGTGTCTCTTCCCAGCCAGCAGCAGTGAAAGAGACCATTTATCGGTGCCTCTTTCTTGGAAGGTGTAAATAAACAAATGCTTACCCTCTCTTTATGTGCTCCAGCAACAAACCAAAGTCCCTTCTACCAAAGTCCAGCTTGGGGAACATGTGCGTCTACCGAGAGTGTGAATGAGACCCACATAGGCCAGCCCGAGTTACATGGTGAGAACCTATCTCATAAAAACAAGCAAATAAAAATATAACTAATGAAAATTTGTTTTTACTAAAACAAATCAGAGGTGGATGACGCCCGAGGCAAGACAACCACACACGCGCACATGCACGCACACGCACACGCACACGTCTGTATATGTGCATATGCATACACAGTGCAAAGGGCCAACTCCAGAGAAAATGGTTCAGCCTGTTTGTTGAGAGGACACTGCCCATCATTAAACCAGCCACACGGAGGCAGACCCTTCTCCACCCCCACTGCAGCACCTTTGAACCCCTCCCCGTGCATAGCAAGCCTCTGGACACTGGGCTAGGGCCGCTGGGCCTTGAGCTCACACCACACCGCTTCAGGTTTCTCCCCCTTGCCCTGGGTCCCTGAGCGATCGCTGGCTGTCAGAGGCCGGAGCAGACCAACAGGAGCCTGTTGCGGAATCCTTCCCTCCGAGCATAACAGATGTCATCAGCACAGCTGTGACCACTTGCAAGAGACACTCAGATTGGGCTGATTGGCAGCTGATGTTCCCTCCTGAGAAGGAGGGGTGGGAAGCATGGTTGGACACTATGAGACTCCGGCTACTCCCTCTTGAGCTTCCCAGCCACACGTATTTGACTCTGCCCTAACTGCTTTGGAGTCACTCCTGTGCACACGGGAATGTGGGCACCCCCTGGCAGCCAAAGGCATGGGGTCTCCCTAGAGACCTTGCTGGCTGCCTGGTGTGGGTGCTGGAAACTGAACTCGGGTCCTCTGCAAGAGCAGTATGTTTCTTAGTTGTTGGCAAGCCATATCTCCAGTCTCCTGTAGCTCATGGTCTCCACTGTGACAGTGTCTCTCATAGGCCCGGAGCTTGCTGAGCGAGTCAGGCAGTCCCCACAGAACTGGGATTACACGTGTGCTGCTAGGACAGCTTCTTATGTGGGTCCTGGGGGTTGAACTTGGGTCCTCAAGCTTGCAAGGCAAGCGCTTTACTGACTGAGCCACCTCACCAGCCCCTGGAAGTTTGCCTTTCTGTAGAGCCCTGAGCTTAGATTCTCTGTGTCACCCTTTTTTTTTTAAAAAAATAATTTATTTAATTTTATTATATGTGTATTAGTGTGAAGGTGACAGATCCCTTGGAATTGGGAATTGGCATTTCAGACAGTTGTGAGCTGCTATGTGGGTGTTGGGAATTGAACCCGCATCTTTTGGGAGAGTGGACAGTGCTCCTAACCATTGAGCCATCTCTCCAGCACTCCTCCCAGCACCCCGTGTCACCCTTAAAAGCACATTACAGGAGGGGATAAGGTTCATTAGACAGAGTCTGGATGTTGGTGCCAGCTGAGTCCTGACTGTCACCCAGAGGCTGCTGGCCCTTCAGAGGCCCTTCAGAGGAGAGATTGTGCTGTGGATTTCAGGTCCTGTGCATAGGCGTCTTTCCACATGCCCCTGTGGGCACTCCCTGCTGACTGAGGAGGCTATTGCAGATGGTGACAAATGGTTCCACCCCGTGGAAAGCCAGCAAGATCCTGGAGCGGGGCTGGTCGAGCAGGGGCTGGTCGAGCAGGAGTGGACAGCACCGGTGTCCCCAGAAGAGCCTGGAAAGGCCACCTTCTTCTGGCTGTACTTCCTGCTCTCCAGGAAGTGTTTCCTTTCCATGACAGCATCTGTGCAGTGACCTTTGAGAGTCACTGCTTCTCAGGGTCCCTGTCTGTAAAAAAAAACGAGGATGGCCACAAGGTGGCCTGCATCCCTCTGAGCGTCTTTCCAGGCAGTCCCTAGGAAGAGAACCTCGGCTAGCCCCATTTTGCAGATGTGGAAATGGGTTCAGAAATATACATGAACCACAGAGTAGGGTGCGCAGGGGCCTGCGGGTAGACCCCAGTCTGGCTAAGGGAAATGTGGGGATTGGCCACTTTGAAGAACGTTAATGTGCTCATCCTCATATCATTTCCCCCTACTGCTCCCCACTCTCTTGCCTTATTTTCTGTTTCCATGTATCCTAGACTCTCCAGTTTCCCAGCTCTCTTGGCTCTGGGCTCTCCCGCTCATCCACGCATGCTTGGTTCTCTGTGCTTCCGCCTGCTGTGGTAGCAGAGGGTGCATGCCATGGGGGTGTGAAGGTCCCGGAGGGGAAGATTCGCCTGAGATCAAAGCACACAGCATTGGCATGGAGCCCAGGAAGAATTCCCCAGGACAGCTTTGGTTCTCCTTTCAGCTTGCCCTGGGCTGGGGCTTGGTAGCCCTCGACGGGGCAAGTGATGGCTCAGTTTCATGATTGCAGAGGCAGGGGAAGCAGGACAGGGTACAGACAGATACTCAGGTGTTAGCATCGCCCTCCTGCACGTCCCTGCCAGCCCTCTGTCGCTGAGGATTACCAGATGGGAGCGCCACACCGCTCGCCAGCTGTCCTGTGCTAGGATGCTGGGAAACCCTACGAAGTGGGGACAGACAGACGCTGTCCCCAGCACTGCCCCTTGTCTGAAGCTGGGCAGTTGTGCTGGGAGAGACCCAGGGTCGCACTGCAGATCTGTGGCTGGCATTCACATTTCCAGGAATTTCGAAGCTCGACAGGGCCGGGCCAGTGGTGCAATGGTTCCCACAGCTCTCCAGAGGTTCCCTGCAGAGGACGGCTGGGCTTGGGGTTTGCTGGACTGCAGCACGGCCCCGGCAAGAGACCCGTCGGCTTCAGGAGAAATTAGTGGTGTGAGCTCTGGTGGCTTTCTGGGTCCCTGAATGCTTCCAGATGTGCTGGCTGCTTTCCCCGTCACTTCTCCTACTGGCTCCAAGCTCTGTCCTGGGCCTTGACCTGTGGTGTCCCCCACAGTCATCAGGATGCCCCTGCTCTGCCATCGCTGTCATCTCAGCTTGCATGCTGCAGAGGTGAGGCCCCAGGGTCAGGTGGCCTGGACATGGTCATCTGCAAATCAAAGGGAAGGAGTTAAAACCTTACAGCCAGGCCCCCTACTATAGTGCTAACTACATTTGCTGAGTGCCAATTGCATACCCGGCTGTGCTTCTGGGCTCTTGGGATACTGTGAGCAGGACAGAGAGAGGCATCCTTGGGAAGAAGAAGGAGAAAACCAACTCTGCATAATTCCTTATGCTCAGCAGAACCAATTCAAATAGCAGTTGTGGTCTTGGAAGAGGAGCCAGGTGAAACGGGATAAGGAGAGATGAAGCCGTCCATGGAGCTTTTCCAGTGGGGTGTGGGAGGGTGGAGCTTTGCAGGAACGGGACACAGGCCCTCCTAGCCCATGGGGAAGAGCAAGTAGCTGTGTGTATGTGTGTGTGTGTGTGTGTGTGTGTGTAGAACTTTCCAATTGTGTGTCTCACATCAGGCCCTCCGGTTCCTTGTGAAGGACGTGGTTGGCACGTATCTGGCTGTTGGCTTGTAGGCTGAGTCTTGCAGTGTCCTGGTGACCAGTACACTGTGAGCAGGATGGAGAGCGGTGTCCTTGGCAGCCTGGGCGGGGCAGGCATCACTTCCTGGTCCTAGGAAGTGCTACTGGAGGACACAGTCCATTAAATCTTGTTCTCTGCTTATTTATGTGTTTGTCACTCGTGTGCACATGCTGGAGCACCGTTGCCGCTTGCTCGGGAGATGGTCGTAGGACCTTAAGCTGCATCTTTTTTTTCTTTTGCTTGAGATATTCATATCATCAGTCACCAGGCCCAGTTAGCCCTCCTATGATTCGATTTTCCATCCAGCGTTTCCTCCGGGGACTTCCTGGCATCGTAAATCTTCTTACAAGGGTTGGGGAGACCAGAACCGGAGGTGCCCTGAAGTTCACTTAACCTCCATGGGCACAGGTGATCTTCCTGCCAGCGGAGGCCTGGCACGTGTCCCTGACTGCCTGTGATAGTTCAGCCTCCTGGTCAGCAGTGTCCCTTCCTGTGTCCTGCTGCTTCTCAGAGTATTTACAGTGGGGCCCATGGGACACTTGCAGTGTTGGCCGTCATAGCTGGGCGCTCACTGACATTGGTGCTGTTGTTATCATGTGACTGCCCCTCCCCCGGCAGACCTGGGTGAGGTGGCCCAGGAAGAGATCTGGCAGGGCCAGGCAGGGCCTTCCAGGTTCCCAGCCCTTTGACCATGATCAGGTCCCTGCTGACTCTTGTGCTGGTGCGAGGAAGTTTTCTAAAGGTCACACACAGGTGGGGGCTTCTTCCCTCTGCCCTCTCTCTTTTGGTCATTCCTGCTTCCTGGTTGGCTGTCTGGGTTGTCTAGAGGGAGAGGCCTGGCAGGTAGGACCCATGGGCATAAGCAGGGCTGAGGCAGGGCCCTATACACAGGGGGTGGGATAGGAGAGGTGGGCGACTCACTCCCAGGAAGGTAAGGAATCTTTACTGTCCTCTGGGCCTGTCCACCGTGGGCTCAGCTGCTCTTGTGTCTGTAGCAGGCCTTGGGGCTTTCTGCCCTTTCCCTCAAGTTCCAGGACTAAATGTTCTGTTTTGTCTACTGATTGAAAAGTTTAGCATCTGGATGGGATGACCATGGCAACTGGAGGACCTCTGTACTCAAAAGTCCACTGGTTCTGGGATGTCTTCACTTCCTCTGCCTGGCTTGGTGGAGTGCTTCCTTGGTCACGTGACTCCGACTCATTGCCTCCCAGGAATACCAGTCAGTTGTGGGGACTAACCCCCAACAAGGAGCTCCTAGGCCTGGCTGTGGTCTGCTGCTCCGGGCTCCTGGGAGATACCTGGTCCCGGTGTCCTCTGCTGAGGCTCTCTACCCCTTCGGAAGCTGACAAAGGGCCTGCATGAGAGGGTCACCCATAGCAAAGGGTCCCCGGCCTGCAGCATTCTAGAGTTCTTGAGACTGCCCTGAGCCCAGGGAGGGGGCCGTGGCTGTGGGGAGCCGTAGGCTTGTTACTTTTTTTCCTTAGCAGCGCAGCGCAGTGCAGAAAAAGCCAGCACGCTCCTGGCAGCAGGAGGTTGTGGGGTGAGCAGATGGATGCTTAGACCTGACTGACGGGAAGCCTGCATGCCCTGTGGACACAGCATCCCAAGGGAATGCTTTGGTCGCAGGAAGGTCCTGTCACAGTCCTGACTCCAAAACGCCCACCTTGGGGCTGTTGAGATGGCTCAGCAGGTGAAGACATCCGTTGCCAAGCCTGATGACCCGCCTTTGATCCTGGGCCCTGCGTGGTAGAAGAAGACAACTGACTCACTGGTTGTTCTCTCAGCTCCACGTGTGCACTGTGACACATGTATGTACACGCACGCGCGCGCGCGCACATGCACACACGCACACTGCAATGATGGCGCTCCCATTGCAGGTCCCGGGTTGTTATTGGCCTGAGTGTAGGTGCTCTCTCTGTGCTAACTCATCACAGTCACCTGCATTGCATCTCAGTGCGCTCTGACCATCCCATCTCAGTGCGCTCTGTCCATCGCAGTGTGCCCTGTCCATCACACTGCCTGAATGTTAAACAGAAGTGAGGTGGAGGACTAACACCCCCCCCCCGCCCACACACACACTCTAACAGGGTTCACCTCCTGGTTCTGGAGTGTCCTGGGCAGCTGAATCACTGCCTCATGTCTTCTCAGAGCCGCCCTGGGTGGGCAGGGGTTGATTTTCACAGCTGTGGGTTTTGTCCCAGTGCCACGTCAGGCTGTAATTGCTCAGATCCTCCGGCAGGGCTACCCTCGTGGCGTTTGGGGATACAGGTGTCCCGGGAGCCATGTTAGACTTTCCCGGTGCAGCTGAGCAAACACCTGCCGGCTCCACAGGCTGATGTCAGGGACGTCAGGACGTTCAGAGCAAAACCCTAGGACATGACTCCAGGTTTCCCGATTCTTAGTTTTCACCTTCTTGTGGGTGGTGCCATCCCCAGAAATGACTTACAGTTGGTGCCACCCAAGGAGTGACAGCCTGGAGCGTTCGGAATAAAGAGAATGAATGGGCTGATGTGAGCCTCATCCCTTGAGTCTTTCCTGAAGGGTGTTGCTGGGCGTGGGGGTGCACATCTGGAGTTCCAGCTGCCTGGGAGGGCAGATGCTGGCAGGGTCCCAGGAGTAAGGGCTTGGACAGACAGTGAGGACAGAGTCAGGGTGAGGTTGTAATCTGCCTTCTCCCCTTTGGCACCTACCTAATTCTAGAAGTTTCTTCCTGTACAGACATCCCCAACCCTGTGCAGCCCTAGGGACCCTCTTTTAGCTTCTCTGCATTTCTGAGGCCCGTGTACATGGGGCTCTGCGGGATGGCAGGTTCTCTGGGAAAGAGAGGCTGTTCCCACCTCTAGGGCCCAAGTTCCCCGTGAGGTGACAATGTAGATCCTGCAGAGAGGGCTATTAGGGTCCCTGCCCCCACTATCTGAGTTCTGCTGAGATCAGAGGGCTGGCTGGCAGCCTGACGGGAGTCACATTTTATCTGCCCTTTTCTCCCAGTCTGTGTCTGGCTTCCGGCCAAACCACTAATAATAACGCAACTCAGAGTAATCCTTACATTGTGGGCTGTGTGGCCTGGTCTGCCCTATCCTTCTTCCCTCAGGAAGGCCTGGCTTCAGCGTTCCCAAGGGAGGCCATCTCCTTGCCCCCATTCCCATGTCCCCTGCAAGCGCCTCTGTAGACCCTAGCCGTGGCACAAGGTACAACAAGCATTTATCTCCAGTCACACTCCTCAGGTCTTACCCAGGCTCCTCTGTCAGCCAGTCAAGAGGCAGCTGACCCCTGAGAACTCAAGGGGTTCACAGAGGAGGACGCAGGGCCTGCCCTGAGGTGGTAGGTGTCCCAAGGCTCCAGTAGAGGAGGTGGAAGGGGCTGGCAGGGGTTTGGGCTCAGCCTAGGTGAGATGGCCTTTCAGAAACATGTCATTGGCTGTCACCTGCCAGGCATAGGGCCAGAGACCCTAACTAAAGGCTGATAAAGCCAGAAAAGAAGCTTTTCTGTGGTACATTGAGCATGAAGTGTTGGTTACCTCAAAGTGTATAAACTCCACTCCCCCAGGGGAAGATAGTGAATTCTGAGTTCAGCCAGAGTCCCAGTCTCAGGCAAGACCGGAGGGGCCGAGGTTGGCTCAGCTCTCCAAGTTTGAACTGAACTGGCCTGGTCCACTGATCCCTGCTGAGCAAAGGCTTCCCTGCTGGGGAGCACAGCTGCCCTCCCTTACCCTGTCACCCACCCACAGCACTCCCATCTTTCCTTCCGTTCTGCCGAGCAAAGTGACGCCCTCTCTGCTCCTGTAGGTCCATCTGTGTGTGACTGCCTCGGAAGTTCCCTCATGGGCTTGTCACTGGGATAGGCTGTGTCCCAGGGCTGGACCAGGGCGGGCTGTGAGGTACCCTTACACTCACCCAGATGGGGTCACCTCCTCCGTTTCATAGATGGGGATGCAAGGCAGCTGATGTAGAGGGAGACCAGCTTGGGGACACAGGGCAGCTCTCAGGCTGGCCCCCAAAGGCCTGAAGGGCTAAAGGTCTGTGGGTGCCCTTTGGATCCTGGGTGTACTGATGATATGGCAACTGACCTTTGAGGCTGCTGATCTTGATGGCCTGTAGTATTGTAGATCAGCCTGGAACTGTTTCCACCCATCTGCTTTTGTGACCTCGAGGCTTGGTGCTGTTTGGGTCCTTCCTTTCTTGGTGGAGGCTGAGTTCAGGGACCAGGGGGTCTTGATTTCCCTGAGAAGCCACTGCTGCATTCAGGAGGCATTAGTGTCCCATGGCGTGTGTGTGATCGAGGCAGTGCTGGGCTAGGTACCTGCCTGTTCCCATGCCCAGGTTTGTACAGGAGCCTTTAGAAGCAGGAGATACCAAACAAAGGGTAAGTCTCAGGCTGGACCCCAAGTCTGTGTGGCTCCTCAGCTTGTCTACAGCAGTGTTCCCAGAACCAGGTGGGGAGAAGGGACATTTGAAATGCAAAGACCCGGTCACTTGTCCCCTCTTCATGCCAAGGAGAACAGGAAGGTCTGTCTCCCAGCAGTAGGGGTAGAGGGAGAAGGAAGATGTGAACTGTTGCATCTTGGATCAGACTTGGATTAAAAAAAAAAATCTGCTGCTCGGGCTGGAGAGATGGCTCAGCTGTTAAGAGCACTGTCTGCTCTTCCAGAGGTCCTGAGTTTAATTCCCAGCAACCACATGGTGCCTCACAACCATCTGTAATGAGATCTGATGCCCTCTTCTGGTATGCATTCACACATGCAGAAGGACACTCACATACATAAATAAATAAATCTTAAAAAAAAATCTGTTCAGAGCCTGGGCTTCTCCGTCTATAAAATGGGGGCCACACTGGTGCCTGCCACTTAGGTCTGAGACGACCCAGGTGGCATGCTTTGAACATCTCCTGGCACAAGGTGAGCGCTAAGTAGATAATGGCAGGGGCCGTTTTTGGAGTGGGCACTCTGAAGAACCCTGTTCCCTCTAAAGTGGCTTTCAGGATGAGAGCCGGGCGAGCACAGAAGTCCTTTTTAGCTCCTCTGTGACTCTACCATTTCCCACCTCACAGTCATCAGCACCCATGACAGCTGGGGCAGCATTCCAACAGTGCATTGTACTGCCTACCTACCCAAGCAGCTGGAGTAGCAGCCGTGCGGCCATAGCTGGCTTCTGGTGCCCTGAGCTTGTGTGCGGAGGTTTGGGGAGAGCCTGTCCTGATTTGTCCGTATGTCTGTTTTGGGGTGCTGGCACCTTGTTGGTGCTTGCTGCTGTTCTGTTTCTTTCTTTGGGCGCTGGCAGCCCAGGATATACCCCTCCACTGACGGAGCTGCCAAGCAGTGGGCTCTCTTGCAACAAGGCAGGTGGCCTGGGACCTGTCCTTTGGGCACATCCCTGGAAGCAATGTGCTGCCCTGGGGCCTGATGCACTCACTCGGGGTGTGTCAGCATCCCCACCTGTGGTCCTCCACTTACTCTAGAGCTCACATTTGTCCTGGGCTGACGGCCGAGGTGTGTAACCGCTAGGGTGAAATTGAAATCCCTCCTCCAGGCTCCTCTTTCTGGGCATAGGACTGGGCTTCTACCCCCCCACCCCCCCAGGGTGATGTTCCTCTTCTCCCCGATCAGTGCCACTTCTCTGTGACACCAGGCAGCCTTGCTCAGACCTGGGTCTTGGGTTGTGTAGAAGGAAAAGACTCGCTGGGGGTCATGAGGAGGCAGTGTGCCCAGTGGACTGTGGGGTGTGTGGGAGTTAACTTAGGGATAGAAGGGCAAGGAACCCCCCATGGACGGGGTTAGATCTCATTGTTCCGGACGCTAGCGCTTTCCTTCCAACTGGCAAAATCAGCGTTGAACAGTGTGCTCAGTGGCCTGTGACTAAATCCCGAGTGCAGCCGCTTGAGTGCGTGATCCAAGGCCAGAGGCCACCCAGAGAGGGCCGGTCTCCCCGCTCCCTTCAAGGCGGCTGGTCGCTCCCAGTGGCAGCTGCCATTGCACTGATTGCTCAGTGGTCTAGAGAATCCAGCAGACAAGTGCCCATTCCTCACGTGGTGGTCCTCCTCCCCTGCCCTGAGTGTCTCTCCTAGCCCGGTCCAGTGTGTCCCTCTAACGCTGAAATCAATCTGGATTCTGTAAAGAAAATGAATTTGGAAGGGCACCAAGGGGGCCTAATAGATCGAGGTTTTTGTTCCCGGGGTTCAGAGATGGACTCTGGAATATCTGCTATATCTCAGCCGCCTTTCCCACCTAGCTAGACCCTTGAAGACGTGCACAGACCACGTGGTTCCTGGGGACACATAGATTGCAAGGTGACAGAGCCAAAGAGTGCTGGGGTCGAGGGCAGACTTGCTGTGCCTTGTCCCCAGAGGAGAGGCCTGCAGAAAAGTGCAAGTGTGTGCGCGCTCAGCCACGGCATCAGGACCCCATCGAGGCGTCTGTAGGCAGTGTCCTGGGGACAGCCAGATCCTGGCTCTTCTGCTACACACCGGCTTCTCTGGCTTTCCACCTGGACAGAGGAGAGGATTCAGGCCTTTGTGTTTCTCCACAAAGAGAGGCAGCAACAGGAGGCCCAAAGGTCTTACAACAGAAGTCTCCAGTGGGAAGACAGATGATGTCTTCCATGGCCAATGGGAACAGTGTCAGCCGAGGGCATTTTGATAATTTCTAGCACAACCGCAGAGGTATGGACCCTTTAGTCCGACAAGACTTTAGTCCATCCTGGGACTTGCTTGCAAGTGAGCTGGTGTCCCTGCAGAATGGCTGGCCCCCATGGGCTACACCCGGGAAACGGCTTACAGGCAGCCTGAAGGCCACTGGCAGACAACTACCCTGCATCAGTCTTGGGGACCCAGGCTCAGCTCAGCCCACCTGCTTGGAGTGTGTCATCTTGCAGTCCCCCCTTGTCTGTGGAGAAGCCTACTGGGGTTACTGGCACATGGAGATAAGTGCGGCCCACGGGCGGGGGTGATTTATGTCTGCCGGCTGGTGAGTTCTGTGCCGTTGCTTTCTGCCAGCATTGTGGGAAGTGCGGTGCCTGGCATCTTCCTACCCACTCTCTCACCCTCCTTCTTTCCTCCTGGAGTCTCACAGACACCCTGATCGTGCAGTTACCCAGTAGTTCTGCCTGCTCACCCGTGGGGGCTGTACCTGCCCCAGGTAGTCCATTCGGCCAGCCATGCTGAAAGCTGCTGGTGCTCACGAGTTCAGGGAGCCAGACAGAGGCCACAGGGCAGGGGTAGGGGATGTGTGTGGCTTGGGCCAGTTCCCAGGCCTCCTGCCCACTGCCCCACAGGGGCCGACAGCATGAGCGATTGGTTTGCAGGGGCTGCCCGCCACGCCTCGCCATCTGGCGGGGCTATTGTTGACCATACAAAGGAGGGATCTCAGCAGGGCAGGGGCAGGGGCCCAGGCCGAAGGAGTGGACAGTGGGTGAAGGGCAGGGGCAGGAGCACAGGCCAAAGGAGTGGACAGTGGGTGGAGGGCAGGGGCTCAGGCTGAAGGAGTG